CATCAAGTGGTGAATTACCAAAATTGGATAAAAGGCTGAAGAAATCTGGTTGGCAGCAGGAGTGACATAAATGGAATCTTTTATTTTTATTTATATATTTAATTTATATCCTCCCCTACCCCAGGAATGGTCTCTGGACAGCTCACAACATAACACTAACACACCATCTCTCCTTATATAATAATCCCGTTTTCGTCTGGCAAGATTTGATGCACGCCAAAATCAGTTGGCTGCTTGAACTGCCACTCAGAACGTCAGAAGGTCATTGGCTCCATAGACTCAGTCCCGCCCAGACAAGCAGCACCCGCGAAAATTTGTCTCACACTGTGCCCTGCCACCAGGCCCTGCTCCCTCAGACAATGGACACTCCGGCCCCCTCTGCTCATTTAGGAGGAGGAGGTGCTTGGGGGGGAGGGCCCCCACGGGCTTCCCTGGGCCGCCCCTGGCGTTGCTGGTCCAGAGGGGCAGCCAGACTGGCCTTGGGGATGGGGAAAACGGCTGCGCCTGGCCCAGAGAGGCTGGGCCGGCATGGCCTGCCCCAGGGAGACTGCGGGCCCTTCTTCGGGAGGGGGGAGAGCCCCGACAGGCTTCCCCGAGCCACCCCAACCTTGCTGGGGCGGCCCAACTAAGCTCCCTGCGCCAATGCAGCCTGGCCCAGGGAGGCCATGGGCCCTTCTTCAGGGGGGAGGGGTGTCCACCGGGCTTCCCTGCGCCACCCCCAGCCTCACTGGGCTGGCGGCACGGCCCGACTGGGCTCGCGGAGGGGGGAAAGGGCCGTGCCACACTTCCCTGTGCTGCCTGGCCGCGGGCGCACTCACCCAGGCCCTCTTCCATTTACGCAACGGGCCTTTCTCCTAGTAAAACAATAAACAGCAACAGCAGAGAAAACCAAAACCCATGCCTCATGGAATAGTTACCCCAAGAAATTCCAGTGCCCAAGTAACATCCAGAACAGCAAGGAAAAAAAAGGCTGCGTAAGAGTAGGGTGGAAGGCAGGCTGTTAGAACAACCAGCTACAAGGCTGTTTAGGTCCCCATTAGGGAAAAGGGGGAGTGTAAATGAAGTAAAGAGAGGGCTTCCATTTGGCTAAAATTGTTAGTAATTGATTCATCTGTTGGTAAAAAATAATTGTTCTGGATTTTTAAAATTGTAACCCTCACTTCTTTCTCCATCAGTTTTGAGAGTCCTGTTTCTTATTTATTTTGTGGGGACCAAAGATTTAGGAGAAGGCTGTTGCCTTTGTGCCCTGCTTCTAAGCTATCCGGAGCTATGTCACAGGCCACTGTTACAAACAGTGCTGGACTAGGTGGCTCTATGAACTTCTATATTCTTATTCTTGTATGGAATGCACCTGGTGACTTTTGGTTTGATATATACAATTATGGCTTCGTTCAGAATACATGTAAAGAGCTGTGCAGGAAAGATCCTGCACTCTTGTCTTCTACATGTTTTGAAGGAAGAAGCTGTGATCAGTAATCCTTCTCATACTGGTAACGTGAGAAACGTCCTCCTTGCAAATGCATTATGAAAAGCAGGTCTCTGCCTTATAGAGAATGTGAAGAGAAATCTTTGTGACCGCATTCTAACGGTTGTCTCCTTCTCTTTCAGTCATGCTGGGGTCAGCCGAAGCGTTGCTGTTGTTACTGCTTATTTAATGAAAGCGAATAATCTTCCCTTCGAAGAGGCCTATGCCTTTGTCCGGTCCCTCAGGCCAGAAGCAAAGTATGTGTTCCTCACCACCACCTTTTGGTAAAGTGGTGTACATCCTCATAGAGGATGATGTACCTCCTCTATGAGTGAAAGCGTTTGTTTTCATTTAATTCCAGAATGAATGAAGGTTTTGAGTGGCAACTGAAACTCTATGAAAGAATGGGCTGTGAAGTTGATGTAACCAGCCCCCTTTACAAACAGTATCGTTTGCAGAAGGTCACCGAGAAATACCCTGGTAAGTGACAGGAAGAGTTTTCCTACTCCCCGAAATGTTTGTAATGAAAGTTGCTGCTTAGGAGTGTCTATAGAGCACAGTGGATGAATAAAATTTAAAAAAAATCCAAGTGTCCAAAATATTAAGAGGGCTAGAACCCCAAATAATGTTACATTTAATTCATAAAACACCACAAGGTCTTATTTAGTTTAAAAAGCCTCAGAGGGGCCACCAAATAAGCTCTCGGCAGCTTAAAGATGGAAAAACCATCTAAGAGTTAGAACTTTCCCTATTAAGAACGTGTGCTTGAATGTTCAAGTTACAGAAGTATGTTTCACAACAGCAGGAGTGGCAGTCCTGTTGTGACGCTCTGATCTTTACCTGACGAGACAGGAACATTTGGGGAAAGGTGCAGTGCTCCACACCAGTGCTCCCTCTAAGCTGTGGAGTCTTGTGAGCAAAAATTCTACTTTGTGAGCTACCGGCATTAAAGTTGTGAGCGAGCGATTCGGCCACTGCATAAATTAGTTTGCTCTGGAGCCCTCCTTCCTGAGCTAAGACAAAAATGTGTGAGCCAGAGGCTCAAAAACTGTGAGCCAGCTCACACGAACTCAGCCTAGAGGGAACACTGCTCCACACTGAGACTGACCAAATGACATGAACTGTTTTTGCAGTGTTCTGGCAGCTATGAGTTCAACTGAAATTAGCATTTTTAAAAAAGCACTAGTTAATGAACAGCATTTACTATCAAAGTATGAATGTCATGATATATTTGGAGATATATATTCCCACTTTTTTCCCCAGTGGGAGCCCAAAGCAGTTCACAGTCAGTCTCCCCTCCTTCAGTTTATCCTTATAATAACCCTCTGAGATAGATCCAGGTGGTCAGCCGTGTTGGTCTGAAGCAGTAGAACAAATTTAGAGTCCAGTGGCACCTTTAAGACCGACAAAGATTTATTCAAGGTATGAGCTTCCGTGTGCAAGGCACACTTTTTCAAACACTTTGGAATGAGAGGTGAGGTTCAAACTTATAGACAGGGACTTAGCAGCAAATTAACATGTGACATGATGAAGTTTAGGGCACGCAAAGTCAGAACTAAATAACAAGCTAAGATTATAAGGTCAACAGCTGTCAAGCAATAAATATGTCAAAATAGCAGATAAATGTCTAAAGGTGTCTTTTCTCATTGTGGGAAGCAAACCGAGAATCTGCGTTCTCTTCTCCCAGGTATGGAGATCACTTAACAGCACTTTTTTAGGTGGAGGCAGTGTCATGTCAGCAAAACATTCCGATGTTCCTTGCATTACGTTCAGTATTGTAAAAAAGAGGTAGGTTAGGCTAAGAGAGAGTGAGTGGCCCAAGCTTCCATGGCAGTGGAGATTCGAACCTGGGTCTCCCAGACCATAGTCTTTTACACCATGCTGGTTCGTGTATCAGTAAGTGAAGCATGCATTCTACAAATATAGAGACGTATTACTAGAATTTCCCCCCCAAGGGTATGTGAACTGCTGCACGCTAACAGCATGAGTGATCCCGTTGTGTGTGAGACTGTGTGTTGAGAATTCCAAAGGCCGTCCCATGAAAAAGGCCATGTGCAATTTCTGCCCTCTTTCATCCTCTCTGCTGGTTGGAGACAAGTCTTCAGGATGCTCTGTGTGCAGAGTTCTCCAGTGGTGAGGCGGCCCTCGTGGTGAGCATGACACATGGGCAGATTCTCAGTCAATTAAGAGGCAGTGAAATTCCCCCAGCTCAGCATTCTGTGTGATTTCACTGGCTGTGCTGGAGTGCTGCCCTCTCAAATGAGGTAAAACTGATGTCCGGACTTCTGCCTTAGCTGTCAAAATGTCCCCTTTACAGAAATTAATAATAATCAGGGTGTCTTGTGCTTATTTGTACCAAACTTCCACTTTTTTAGTTAGCGTTAATCATTTTGGATCGTGTCAAGTCCCTGTTATTGAGATAAATGTGCAAATGCCATGCTTTTCATTTGGTGATCCATTTTCTAGTTGTTGTGTGTTACGTGCCATCAAGTTGCTTCCAGATTCTGGTGTCCCTTCAGACCTCCAGAACATCCTGCTCAGGTCTTCGAACTGAAGGTCATGGCTTCTTTTGCTGAGTCAATCCATCTCATGTTGGGTCTTCCTCTTTTTGTTAGTCATTCAGTTGTGTTCGACTCTTGGCAATTCTTTTTTTAAAAAAATTTATAATTTTTATTTATTTTAACAATCAGCAAATAACATGTGAATCTAATACAACATACAAGTAATTAATCTGTTACAGAATAAAATGTTTTCGAATCCAAAAGGGTTACAGTCATAATTCAAACGAACAAAACTATTGGGTGTAACCAGTCAGTTCTTCCATAAATTCCTGAGAATTGCTGTTTGATAATCTATGAAATGGCTAAGTATAGGTAGAGCTTGAGCTCATAGGGATAAGTAATAGAAAGTACAATCCATTTTTTTAAACAACAAAGTATAGGGACATTTACATCCATTTCTGCATGCGTTGCCAGGAAGCAGGCAAGTATTCCTCAGAAGCTAAAAATTCTAGTATAGGAGTCCATTTTTCCATTATGGGTCTTGGTACAGGCTTCAAATTTGTGTTATTTATTTTGTTGGTGACGGAGTCCATAAGGAATTGGTCCCATAGTTTTTGGTACCACTGTGACACCGTTGGTGGTTTTGGGTTCTTCCAGCAGGTGGCAATTGCCGTCGACTCTTGGCAATTCTATGGGCCAGCTCTCTCCACGTTTCCCGATCTTGTACTGTTTCTTTGAGTCATTCCATGCTCAGGCTGGTGTCTACTTTTATGGTGTCCAGCCACCGTTAGTGGCCAGGTTTCCTTTTGCCGCTAACCAATCCAAGCACAATTGCTTTTTCTAGTGAGTTCTTCCTCATGACATGGCCGAAATAACTCAGTCGCAGTTTCGTGATTTTGTCCCCTTCCAGTGACATGTCTGGTTTTATGCGCTCCAATACTTGCTTGTTTGTCACCTTTGTTGTCCAAGGAATGCGCCGGGAGCCTTCTCTAGCACCACAGCTCAAACGAGTCGATTTTCCTCCTGTCTTTCTTCTTCATGGTCCAAACTTTCGCAGCCATAGATTGCTATGGGGAACACAATAGCACCAACTAATCTGCGTTTGGTTGCTAGGCTGATGTCCTTGCTCTTCCAAATTTGATTCATGCTCATCATTGCCGTGCAACCTAGTGTGGTTCGACATTTTATTTCTGGACTGTGTTCGCCATTTTGGTTCATCTGTGAACCTAAGGAAGTGAATTCTTCTTCCTCTTGGGGTGCCTTAAATATTTGTCTACCAGTTTTTAACTTTTTGTGACACATGGAAGTAGCCTCGCAATTTTGATGCTTCCTGTGACCATGAGAGAAGCAGTATGTGATTCTGGGCATCCCCAGTTGTATAATGAATCTGCAACCTGCCCCGCCCCCCGCTGCTGGATCAGAGGAGTGCTGGATTTTTTTATTCAGCTACTTTGCATAGTGCCTCATTCATCTGTCCTTTCTCCCTGCGTCTTGCAGTTCAGTTACACCCTGTCACGGCTCAGGTGGGGTGTCACCTGACGCTGCCACCACTCTGGATTTAGGTTCCCTTGAGAAGGCCCAGAGTAGCCTCCCAAGACGTTTAGACCTCCCTTTTGGCCGAAGGATTGGCGTGAGGACCAGGCAGAGTGAACCAAGGAAAAGGTTTATTTTATAGGAGGTCAAACAACAAGGTGCAGAATAATAACAGTACGTGGGTGAAAAGAAAAGAAATCAAGTGCCCTAACACGTCTAAATATAAACTGTCCCTAGCTCACTATCTCAAGTGGCACTAGACTACTCACCCTTCCCTCAGGATGAGGGTCTCTTCCCTACAG